CTAATGTTCTAAAGTTTCTAACAACCAGCATGATAAATGATACCACGCGGATTTAGCTTTATGTTCTTGATTTTCTTTTTTTAAACTTCAGTATCATTATAGCTGATACATTGTGCAATTTGATAAACTGACTTTGAAACAAGTTCACATATACTGAAGATGAAGTGACAAGTAAACATGAAATCTGCTGAGGTTCTACCCTCTCATTAATACAGAATAAAAAAAAACAGCTCAAAACTGACTGCTGGAAAAATCATTTGCCTGTACAATCACTACATTTGAGTTTCAGACAGCCATTTGTCTCACCTTCAGAAGCATCTGGGGTCTGGAAGTTCCAGAGTTTCACCCAGAGCGAGCTAACTGCCCAAGACCAGGTTCAGATGATTTACAGCCATCTCCAAGGACAGAGACTTCACAGCTTCTTGCCAACCTGCGCTGGTGCCCATGCATTCTATCAAGGGGAGCTTCTCAAAGTTCAGAGGAAACCTCTGGTCAGATGTGGGCCTTCTCCATGAGGAAACTGAAGACCTGGTCATGAGGGATATGGAGAAGGCTGAGGTGAAGCTAAAAATGACTTCTTTGCCTCGGTCTTCACTGGCAACAGCTCCAGCCACACGGCCCAAGTTGCAGAAAGCAAAGGTAAGAACTGGGAGAAGGAACATCTGCCCACTGGAAGCGAAGATTAAGTTTGAGACCACCTAACAATCCTGAAGGTGCACAAATCTAAAGGATCAGATGAGATCTATCCCTGGGTTCCGAGGGAACTGGCAGATAAAGGCGTCAAGCTGCTACCCAGCATATTTGAAAGGTTACCACAGCCTGGTGAAGCTCCTACTGGCTGAAAAAGGGGACACAAAACCCCCATTTTCAAGAAGGGAAAAAAAGAAGATCCAGGGAACAACAGACCACTCAGTCTTATCTCTGTGCCTGGCAAGATCACAGAGCAGATCCCTTTAAGGTCTTACTGAGGCACATGGAAAACAACGAGGTGATCAGTGGTAAACAACAAAGGCAAGTCAGACCTGACAAACTTGGTGGCCTTCTATGATGGAGTTACAGCATCAGGGGATAAATGAGGAGAAACTGATGTAGTCTACCTGGACGTGTGCAATGGGTTTGACTCCATCCTGCACGACATCCTGGTCACCAAATTGGAAGAAAGTGGATTTGATGGATGGACCACTCACTGCATAAGAAATTGGCTCAGTGATCATATTCAGAGAATTGTGGTCAACAGCTAAATGTCCAAGCAGAGACCAGCGATGAGTGGTGTTCCTCAGGGAACGGTGCTGGGACCAGTGCTATTTACCATCTTCGTAACAAACATGCATAGCAAGTTTGGAGATGGCGCCAAGCTGAGTGTGCAGTTGACATGCTAGAGGGAAGGGATGCTACACAGAGGGACCTGGACAGACTAGAGAGGTGGACCCATGCCAACCTCATGAAGTTCAGCAAGGACAAGTGTAAGGTTCTGCACACGGGTCAGGGCGATTCCAAGCACAGATACAGGATGGGCAGAGAATGACTTGAGAGCAGCCCTGAGAAGGATTTGGGAGTGTCAACTGATGCAAGACTTAACATGAGCAGGAAACGTGCTTGCAGCCCAGAAGGCTGCATCAGGACAGATGTGACCAACAGGTCGAAGGAAGCGATTCTGCACCTCTACTCTGTCCTTCTGAGACCCCACATGGACTACTGCATCCAATTCTGGGGCCTCCAACACAAGGACATGGAGCTGTGAGAGCAAGTCCAGAGGAGGGCCACAAAACAGAGGGCTAGAGCACCTCCCCTACAAGGACAGGCTGAGAGAGCCGGGAGTCTTTAATCTGGAAAAGGCTCTGTGGGAACATTATAGTGACCTTCCAGTACCTGAATGGGACCTACAGAAAAGCTGGAGAAGGACTTTTGTAAGGGCACCTAAAGGACAGGATGATGGGAAATGGCTTTAAATTGGAATAGGTTAGATTTAGACTAGATATTAAGAAGAAATTATTTACTGCGAGGGTGGTGAGACACTGAAACAGGTTGCCCAGTGAGGCTTTGGATGCCCCCACCCTGGAAGCATTCAAGCCCAGGCTGGATGGGGCTGTGAGCAACCTGAACTAGAGGAAGGTGGCCCGATCTATGGCAGGAGGGTGAAACTAGGTGATCTTAAAGGTCTTTTCAGCCTAGAAGTTCTACTATTTAAGTTGAATTCTTTAAGTGAATGAGACTGAAGTTACTCACTAGGTATGGTCTTCCAATGCACCAAATGTAAACTCCATGGCTCCTTTGTTGAACACCCAGCACACACAGAAACACAAAGCAAGAGAGCAAGTTGCCCAATCTTTACTAAAGAAATACTTCAGTTTAACACTCAACTTGCACACTACTTGCCAAGCTCAAGATAAAGTAGAGTTTTCCCAAATATGCCTGAGAACAATTAAAAGCAGGTGAAGACACTTTGTTCTTCTGTTACAGATTACAGATTCTTACTTATTAAGACAGTGATAACACCTCTGAGTTTATGCATTCTGCTTAAGCTTTGGAATCAAGGTAACCACCAAGGTGTGTTTGCAATTAGATCTACAGATTATTTATTTGACAATATGTACTCTTCAACAAATACCTACTTCAGAATTACTAAGAGTTATTCGTATTACTGTCTCCAAAGTTCCATGTTCTCCCTTATTCTCCAAAATCCATTTTGAAGAAGTGGTCAACATTAAAGAAGAAAGCAAACCCAAGATGCTAGTCACCTCTACTAGCATAGTTGCAATCACCTCAAATTACTTACAGTGGCAGAGAAACTTCCTTGGTCATTAAGCAGCCTGAAATCAAGGTTCTGACAGCCCCAAGCTAGTGACTATCTCACCCTGCAAAGAGGGCAGAGGCAGGTTCCCAATTCAGATAGACTGCCCTTTGGAGCAGCCTGCCATCTCCAGAGCAAGAGGAACCACAATCCCTACCCTACCTTTACCACTTATGTTATCTTAATCAATTAGCACTGTCATGATTTCCTCCGTATTTCCACCACAAACAGATGCTACAAGCAGTAAGTCACCGCACACCACTTAAACTTTTCCCCTACAGGGGAGAGCAAAAAGCAGCACGATCAAGAAATCTGGACATAGTAACTGCAACGTAACATCTCATCTGTGTGAGCTGCTGGTAATGTCATCTTCCAGATGCCTCAGAAAGAAGCTGCAAACGATAAGCTGTTAAATGGAAGAACTGTTTCTAGTCTTCCTCAATTTCTGGACCAGTAGAGAAAGCACACCCTTCCCCAGACCCACGGTGCTGCTTTTAACAGGACATAAGGCATTAGTCATTCAGCATAAAGCTGAAGTCCTGTTATTCACAGAAATTACCTAACCCGACAGCTTTTCCTATTAGCAACACATTTACTCTTCAGTAAGGCTAACCAGGAAGTCACTATGGAGCTGACACAGCCCTGAAATCTGTAACAATACAGCTACAGCCTCACTGAAAACAAGATTTCCACCCTAGAAGACTGACACTGTATTCACAGAATTTATTTGTACTTGATCAAGACAGGAATGCCTCCAACTCTTGCCCATTGGTAATTTGGTCTACTTTCTTACAGAAAGCGTCTCTTTCTTCTGACAGAAGCCACCCATCAGCATTTCTTTCGCTGCTTTTAACTCTATCATGAATTAACACCACGTGAACTCGGTAAGACTCCTCATTGGTCAGATCTGCATGCGTTCTGTGCTACACACAGGAGAGCTTGCAGGGAGTTCATATGAAAGCACAATGAGAGACAACTGGTCAGTAATATATATGCACCTAATCTCAAGAAGCATGCTTTAGGAGGAGAGATGGTGACAGAATGGCCTCACTGATCCCATGAAATAGACTAAGCCAGGAGGATGCAGTTTGAAGAGGATCAGAAAAAGGAGTTCAAGGCAGAAGAAGAAAGGAGCTGGAAAAGCATGCTGCAACTGGATTTGATTCATAAATTAAGTCAAGGTATATTTTGTGATTAAAGCTCTCTGACAGCCATTAATAGAAAGTCTGGTGATGCTCTCAACTAGCCTCTTAACTTCTCACCCTACTTCTGTCACAATCCCAGTATATCTTCCAGTGTTTACATGCTATTTATCATCTCACAGCATGTATGCTAACTTCAAAATCCCTAAGACAAGTGAAAATAACATATCATGCCACACTACATGCTCTGCAGCTGTAGAATTCTAATCATTACATTGTGATTAAATGTTGTATATGTTAATACTACTTTAGTACTTCCAACAGTAGCTAGTGCTCTACAGAAAGCATTCATAAAGAAAGCTCTTTATGAGAGCACAGTCATTTGCTCTTTACTGGCACTATTCCTTCAGTTCTCAAGTTACAGTAAGGACCTTCAGCTTTGTGCAACAGCAGATTCACTGCCATCGAGAGATAAGATACTGTTTTGCCTTTCCATTTATTTATTTATTTTTTTTAAACAAATGCCATGTCTTCAGCTGGAGGGTATAGGAATTAGTGACCTCAGTAGAAGGGAAACAGTTAAGATAAGTAAAGAGTCAGCTGCTAAAGAGTGAACTAAAGAGTGTCTGAGAACATCACATGTGGTGGAAAAGAACTGCATGTTTTTGTTGGCCTTTTTTAAAAGGCCACTGCCATTTTCTTACATTCTACTTTGTGTACAATTTCAGCACTGGAGTCTTCTTTTGTCATGGACTATGTGCTTTTAAGTTCAAATGCCTGTCCTAAAGTAGGGCTTCTTGCTCAGAACTGCCAAGACTAAGAACTTAATTCAGTAAGATTTAATGGATCTATGAGCAAAACCAAACAGCCTCCCTATGTTTGAAGGAAGTGAATGATCCGGGCTTGCGAAGAACAAGTTACAAACTGCACATGAGGCCACAAGACTGAAGCTGTGATCACAGAAGCAGTTAATAACAATAATGCTGCATTCTTAGTATTATTTTTTTACATTCTAAACCTAGATCAGTAATTACAGCAGAGTAAAATTAAGTGAGCATTGGAGGTACCTTTTGAAATAGTTAGTGCTGGGGACCACTGTGATCGTAGAATATCAAGACAAATGCTGCCATTACTGTTAATATTTGGATGATAGATTCTTGTTGTAAATGCAACCTGCAGAAGAAGGGAAATTTCAGTGTAGGCTCACAAAAGTACATTACACCACACGGTAATGAACAGATCTACAGCACAAGGCACTCACCTTAGGTGGTTTGAAGGGATAATCTGTTGGGAAGTGAATTGTCAAGAAAAATACTCCACCTTGATAGGGACTGTCATTCTGTTAAGGAAAAGGAAACATTGCAGTTTGAGTTTTTACAAGAAGACTGGTCATAGAAACTATGAGCATCAATTCTCTCATACTTACTGGTCCCATTATTGTAGCTTGCCAATGGAACACTGAAAAAGAGAGAGATTTACTTCAGTTTGGAGAAGCTCAAGTAATGAATACTTAACATCCCGAGAAAGCAGTACAGAAAAGTCTATTTTAAAAACAAAACCTTCTGAGAAACTGCAAGGACACCAGCCAAAAAGCTCAACAGAGACAGGGTGATGTACATGAAATACAGAGTACATTTGGTCCACGCTTTCAGAAACTGTTGTGGTAGCATACCTGTAGCTGCACCCTGAAAGAAATCCCAGCACAATAAAAACACAAGAGCTTACTCGTTGTTTCAGACCCAACAAATTTGAGCATTCAATTAGGTAGTTTCCAGAGAAAGTCTGCCATTACCTGAATCAAAGCCCAGTTTCCAATAGCTGCACTGCCCTTTCAGAGTGAGTTACAGCAAAGGCACAGAGTAAGTTAGTCTCTTCCCTCAACAGGATTTCTCCTGTGTGGCTCCTTAACTGAACAAAGGGTAAGCCTAAGCCTTGTGGATTCCATGTGTAAGGAGTTCACCTACAGTCAACAGTGTCCTGACCAAACATTTAACTTCAGCCTCCACAGAAGCATGAAAACTTCACTAAAACAACAGAAAGTAATACAAGTCATAGAAAAATGTAAGAATGAGTCTGCTAAACACTTGAGACCAGTGTGCCAGAATACTTTAGGTTAAATGGAAAAAAATTAAGTCTCACTCATATGCATCTGTCCAAGAGAACATCTTAATCTGGTAATACAGAAGGCTTGTGAAGAACGTCTTTGCTGCAGAACATAAGGAAAATAATCAGTGCTGTTAATCTGTAATAAAGCTCCCTAGTATGTACTTCAGGTTTCTTGCTTTCTCCTAACACTCCAAAGTTCATAGCACACTACTTTAACAAATTATTTCTCAGGTATTATGGGGATTTTCCTCTGCCAGGATGTTGGCTGCACCACGTCTTTAGAAGCGGGGAGCAGAACACAAGCTGACTCGTGGTACAGCCAAGTCTTTAAGGCACAGAAGTTGAAGCCATCTGCAGCTGCACACTTAACGTGCAACAGTGCCCCCAGCTTCCACCACCACCCCGGCCAAAAGGTAACTGTGACACAGTAACACTGTATGCCCTACTCTAGTAGGAGCTGTTTTTAATTACACACTGTGCAGGCACTACAAGTGAGTATGAGCTCAGAAAGAATGGAAAAGGGCAGAGTAGAAACAGCCCTGCCAAGACTCAAGAAGTACAAGAGCAGCTGGTTCAAGTAGCAGGTTCTGTAACAAAGGGTATTACAGCTGCTGACAGCAGCTAGCAAGGAAAAACTACATTCAGCTAGACTCAGGAAATCAAGACAATGCCTCATTTTCAAATGCGACATTCACCCATTTTAAAAGGTTCAGACAGCTTCAGAGCAAGTCCACTGATAGTAGCTGGAGGGGGAGAAAGTGGAACAAGAGGACAAAGGGGTGGCAAAGAGACAGTGAGGAGTGCAACACTAAAGAACACTGAGATTTTCACATGTATCAGTAGATGCTGGTTAAGATTGAGTCCAGCTGTGCTGGAATATATAAAAATACTGGATGTTAACTTGAACATCTCTGCATGCTAGGAAGATCAACTGTGACACCTCACCACAGCCTTAAACCAATAGAAACCAGAATTATACTACAATCTGGTAATGTAATCCCAACCCTATTTCCTAAATAAAAGATGGAGCCAAACACAGGATAACAAAACCACCTTATCCAAAGGGAAAATATCCAAAGGGAAAACGTATCCAGTCCCTACAGTTAACAAAGCAGAAGCAGCTTTTCCCATTCCAGAGTTAACGAAACACTGGGATGAGCTGCTGACACATGGAGACAGTTTACATCAGCTGGACTAGGTAGATACCACTTTGAAAGCACAGCATGTTCTGAACACTGAAAAACATTCTGACAAGGCAACCCAGGCAGGCCTAGAGCACAGAGAGCACCGTAAGAAAGGCACCTTCCCACTGCTGGAACTGGTATTCAGTTACATACACCAGAGGGCGAGCTCTTAACAGTGGACGATTTTCAAGGATCTATCAGAAAGGTGACACAAAGATCTGAGTATTAGTGCCAAATCAAGAAAGCTTTGAAGTAGCCCTCAACCACACTGCTCAACTCACATTACCAGTTACCAGCTCCTCCAGACAACTCTGACTGTCTCTGACACACTTCTGAAACAATAAAGTAGATTATTGTGGCAAAAGTCAAACTTGCAAGTTTGTGGGAAGAAAATCCTCAGATTGGCTCTGCACCTTACTGAATCCCCTCCCACACACCTGCAAGCTTCTTAGAAATACCATTCCTAAAGCAGGAAAGTGGCAGAATACCTACAAGTTTGTTAGTACTCCTAAAAGCCCTCAGAAGCAGGTACAGCTTCTGCTTGCCTGAAGGCACTGCTAAACAGTAATGCCTCTACAAAAAGAGAAATATTCAGTCTTTTCATTCTTCAGTGAAGAAGTGCTGTTTTTTAACCTTGTCTTAGACTTATGAATTTAAGTTTCTATACACTGCAGAACTTCCAAATAGCTCAAGAGAGATTAACTGCTAAAACTGATCAGAATCATTCTCGTAAAAAGAACACCCAAGCCTATGAGCTCTCAGCACAGATGGAGGCCTCCATCCTTAAACATTCCTTACTCCTACAAGCTTGGATGCTAGGCTGAGCAGCAGCCTTGTCAGAGATGCTGCTGCACAGCTGGATGCACCAGCTTAGTGAGCACCCCAGTAACAGCTGAACTGATCTTCTGCAGCCTCTTTGACATGGCAGAGCCTCTACAAAAGCATCAACATATTGCCTTATCTCAAGCATTTTATGCTTTAAATACTCACACATCTAATTCATACCCATCTGGATTTTCCCCCGGGCAGGCTGTAAAGTTGCAAAGCAAGAGGCAACCTTACAAGTGGTCCTGTCATTGCAGGCATCTTACTGACCTGACCGTCTAAACTGGGACCAAATGCTTAATGCTGTTACAAAAAAAAAAAAAGTTGCACTTTACCAAGAAGTGAGAAATGTTAATGTAAGAAGGCCTGAACAACTTGTGAAATGACTTCAGTTCTGTTTAAAAGCAAAGGCCTCTCACAAAACAAAACACACAAAAAACAAACAACCACCCAACACCAATGGCTGCAGTAGGGAGCCAACAATTAAGCTCTGTTATTCACAGATGATCACAGCAGCCTGGGGAGCATGATCTAGAACTCCAATAAGAGAGATCCATACGAAGCCTATTAAATCATGCAATGCATCTTGCTCTCTTCTAGGAGAAAACACGTGAGCAAGATAACAGGAGATCTTACCACAAAGAAAAGAAAGGCAGAGGAAGGCTTTGAACAGCAACAGTCTCCTTTCACACAGCTGTTTGAGCTTCAAAAAGGGCAGAGAAAGATGCCCAGGTCACACGTACCAGGAGAAAACAGAGCAGCTGGTGCCTGGGCCAACAAGGCAGCCCCAGCTATTCCTTCCCAGCACACTATTCCCTTCAGGGGACCTGGCAGAGCCAACTGCTTAGAGAACAGTACCATGCAATTTAAGGATCCTCTGCCTGCATTTCATCTCACAGCCAAGCACCCACATACAAATCCAGTAACAAACCTGTCACCACAGCAAGACCTGCACGTTCAGATTTTGCATACTCAGAAGTCCTGAAGGAGTATCAGATTGAGTTAAGCCCTGCCTAAAGGTCTCAACTTGTTTTTCAGTCCTTACACTGGCATACTCCAGTATTGCATACTGGTTGTGCACCAGCACAAACCAATTAAAAACAAACAGCTTTTTCAAGTGTCCCTGTAACTTAAGATCAAAAAATACTTCATAATTCAAGCTTCAATTCACTAATTAGTTTTCCTTCCATTCACATTTTACCTTGCTACCTTCAAAGACTGTACGTTGCCTTTTTAGGAAATGCAGTGGTTGCTTTAAGTCCTGTGTAAACTATAGTTAACTGTGACCTTGATGTACCACCACCCAGCATTAGGAGCAGATTGCTTTACTTCCACAGGACCACGTGACTACACTATATATAATTTAGGTACCAAACAAGTTCAGACAGCTGTAGAAGACTGCACACTGGTTGGGCCAGGGTGGGACTGAAGCTCACTGCATGCTGACCGCAAGTGCTGATACGAGAATGCCAGAGCACAGGGAAACAGAGCTGCCCCATGAAACAGGCACAGATCCCAGGTGATCCACAGGGATGGTATTACAGAACAGCACCAAGTATCAGGCTGGTAGGGGGAACAGTCTCCAGTACTCCAGCTGAGGGCACAGACAAGTTCTCCTTATGGAGAAACTAGGTGTTCTGTTTTAGAAGGGAAACAGAGTCCACACGTGCACACTGATAGTGGCATACTTACTGTCATCACCAACAGGCCCTGCTGAACACTGTGCTGGAGGATCACGTGCCAGGTCATTCAACTCCTAGAAAAACAAAAAAACAGAAACAGTTGTTTCATTTAATTCCAACACCACTCACATTACTGTTATGAAAGCCGCTGGTGGCACTTGGACTATTACTCCTGCTCTTTGTGGGAGTACTGCTCATCAACTGCATACATCAGTGAGGTGAGACCACAGGAATGGTACCACCACCAAGCTAACACCCAGGACACAAAGTCACTCGTGAAATCAATGCAACGTATTTGGTGCACACATCAGTTACCTCTCCTGGGTTTCCTGACACTCCACTCACACAACCCTCACTAAGTCACAGGGCCTATCAGGTTAATTTTGCCTTTGCTGAGAACAAAGCTTAGCACCTTGATTACATGCTGGATTTCTCATGCATGGGACCATGTCCAGGCCACAGAGGCAGGGCAGCTCCAAGCCAACAACCCACTGCCAGCCCTCCCCCTTCCTGCCCCATAATAGCTCCCAAGCTGCTCCACTACAGCACTTTCACTTACTGCAGAACTTCACTCACCCTGTTGTTTCATCAGACTAGAGGTGGTTGGACAACAAAACAAGGCCTTTGGTAACTAGCTCGAATGCACCAACACAGCCCCACATTTCTGAAGTACCTGTATCAGCCAAGCCTCACTCAAGCAATCCTCTGACAAGTTTTAATGTGTGACTGCATGGCATGAGCCAAACTACCCCAACCTTCAGCTTGGAGCAGACCTTCAGCTGGGCTCAGGACCCACACCTACCCACTGCTCACACCTGCAGGCTGCTCAGGAAGCAGGCACTGAACAACATGCACAAATGGAATAAGATCCCAAAATTCAACCCATCTGTGTTGTCCCAGGCTCAGCCACTAAGCCTAATTCCCTTGCACTGAAACAGACACTGAGCATGCAGCACCTGCTGAAGCGGCAATGGCACACCTGAAGGTGGACAACACCTCCAAACATCTCCATTAAATAAGAGGGAAACCCTTCAGAGTTGCAAGTCAGTTCAGAGCAGCCAATTTTAGCCCTGTAAGGATTCCCTTCTTCCCCCCTGCCTGAAACATGAGCCAGCAAAGAGATCCGTAAAGCACTCACTCCCCATCATCACACTTTACACCACCCACTGCACACCTGTTCTAAGTCCAGAACAGGAAATACATCAAGCTCCAACCCGAGCTACAGAACTCTGCTTCATCCCACAGCAGTGTGTGTACTGTGACAACATTCACAGAGAGGTGGTCTTACAAACACAGCACCCCTCAGAGCAGCGCTCTGAGCTCTGCTCCAGTCCCAGTAAGCCCAGCACCAGGCTGGGCAGCCAGCTCTGTGCCTTCCTGCTCAGCTGACAGGCACGTGTTCCTCACCACACAGCCATGGAGAGTGCAGCAGCTCTCTCTCTCTATATATATACACACACCCGCTGTAAGTACAGACCTAAGAACTTAAAAGTATAAATAAAAATTCAGGAGCATACCTCATTTTTCTAAGAGCCTGTAATAACTGTGTGAAGCACAGTAACTTCCGAATGCTATTGACCCCGATCTCCTGGAGAAAGCAATTTAATGCTACAGTACTCAGAATTCTAAACACATCCATTAGAAAAAAAAAAAACACCTAAGCCTCTCCTACGTATCAGCTGGCAGCCTCTTCTCTCCCACTGTGCACACCTACAATGCAACAAGGCCACTTTGGGAAGGAATACCATTGCAAGAGCACACCTGTGTCATGTAAGACCACAAGCTACCAGTGCCTAGGTTTCAGAGCCCAGCACACATCTCTTCCACCACTGCAGGGAAACAAAAGGTGCAGCTGGCAGAGCTGCCCCACAGCAGCACCTCCCCAGCACCTCACACGGCCCCACTGCAGGCAGGGCTCACAGCAGCTACACAGCAAAGCTCAGACAGCAGGAGCACCCTTTCTCATCAGTGTACTATTTCCTTCTCCTCAATTTTGAGTTCCAGGCAGAAAGGATACTTTAACTTTTGTATCTGTGAACAGTATCTCACTGCAGAGAGGTGACTGGGTCACACCACGGGGGTCACTGGTGCAGCGCTCACTGCAGGCAGCATTTCAGGTTCTGCTTTACAAACTCAAGTTGCAGCACCACAGACTGAAAGACCTGTGTAAGTGATGCACAGACTCCTTGCACTTAGAGAACTTTTGAAACAACTTTTTAATTAAGCTCCTGCAACACAAAGCCCTGCAGCTGCTGTAGGGCAGCCAAAATAAGAGAGGAAAAGCTGCATCTCCACAGGGCGCCTCTGGAGCACAAGCACTAGCTGCAGCATGGCACTAGGTCCATCTCAACACTGCAAGGGCCAACTGCAGAATGGTGGGGTTGGGAGGGCCCTTACAGCACCCTAACCTCACCCCTGCCATGGGCTCAGTGCCCCCAACAGCTTAGGCTGCCCAGAGCCCATCCATGGCCTGGGGCACCTCAGCTCTGGACAGCAGTACCAGGGTCTGAGAATTCCCCCCTCATACCTGAGCTAAGTTCTCCTCTTTCTTAGTTGAGAGCCATCACCACACTTCCTGACACAGATGAGAGGTGCTCTGGCTCCCCAGGCACCCTGGTGGCCTCTCCCAAGCTCACTCCAACAGACCCACATCTCTCTTGCGCTGGGCCCCGGAGCTGAACACTGTGCTGGGGAAGGATGATCCTCATGAAGAAGGACAGCCCCCTTCTTCACCTTGCTGCAGCCCAGGACACAGCTGCCTTCTGGGCTGCCAGCACACAGCTGGCTCACTGCTCTCCACCCACCAGCCCCTCCCCACAAGGCTGCTCAGGCCATCAGAACTCAGTCTGGGATGGGGAACAGCCCCCATCCAGGAGCAGCACCCAGCATTTTGGCCTGGATCAACCTCAGGAGGGTCACATGAGGCCACCTCCCCAGCCTGCCCAGTTCCCCTGGGTGTCGCCCACCCCCCTCCAACACGTCAGCTGCACCACACAGCTGGCTGTCCCTGCCTGCTTGCTGAGGCTGCACTCGCTCTGCCATCCATGCCACTGGTGCATTATCACAGCACAGGGCTTCCTAGCAGGGCACAGATACCACACTTAACACAGCTTTCTCTTCAAGCTGCCCACATACTAGCCAGACTTCTACCAGTCACTTAACAGACTTGTAGGGCTAAGTTTAAAAACAGCAATGATAGTTACATGCAGCTACACCTGTCCACCCACACACAAAGCACAGCATCCAGAAGGTTACCTCGCCTTTTAGAAGCTGTTGGTGCAGTTCAGAAGGCAGAGCACCCCAGCCTACCTAAGGCTTGGTTTCCAGATGTTACTGAGGGACAGAAGAAATACCAGCTTAAATCTGAGCTAATTCCCCAAGCGTTCACACGAAACTAACCTCATATAGATAAGATTCCAATGCAGTTTGGTATCACCTACAAAACTGACATTGCCACCTACCAAACCCCAAGCTTCGTGGCCTGCCCTATTCTCCCTCTGTCCCAGAAAGGCTTTGTGGGTCACTGACCAGGTCTTGACAGCATTGCTATCAAATCAGCAGCTGGAGGAAGCTGCAGCTGGCTATCAGTTGAATTTCTGGCGCAGAAGGCTTTGCTCCAGGAATGCAAAAGCAAATGATCAGGCAAGTTCCAGTGAGGTTTTTGGCTCCTAGGAGCCTGCCTGCAAGAGCAGTGGGACAGCGAGCTGCAGGGCTGCTCTCTCCTCCACAGGAGCCAGGCCCACTGCTGAGGATCATACCATCACTCAGATCTAACTCAGAAGTTTTAATTAGCCCCTCAGCAAAAGTAAGGAACTGAAGGCACGATGCACTGCAAAGCAAAGTTCAAGTACCTCGCCCAAAGAGCAAGTCGTACGAAACTTCATCTGGGAAGTAGGTATTCCAGTAAAGCTACAAGTCTTGCACAAGAAGCCGACACTTCGGCTCCAAAAACAGCTCTACTTGTGCTCGAGTTCCCAACAGAAAGCACAGCCCCACCCGGTGCTCCAGGAAAGCGCTTTAGAAAAGATGCAGTGTGTAACACAGACTGCCTCACTGCCCCAAAGCCACGCAAAGCAGCCGAGCAGTGAGGAGGGGGCACTCAGTGAGCCTGCAGCCCTGCTCAGAGCCACCACCTGCTGCCCTGCCCCCACCATTCCACTTCCCAGCAGCTGGCCCATGGCATTTGGAGTGCAGCTGAATCAGGGACTCCACAAGCAGCACAAGAAGTTTTCAAAAACAGGAGCGCTCCAAGTTCCAGCTTCAAGTTTAACCTTGCACACGTTCCAAGTTTTAATTCATTTATTTGTAAACTCCAGAGGCGTCTGCTGCAGATGTGAGTTCACTTCCCCAGACAATGAGCCCCACGCTGCCCATCTGCTGCGTGGCAGGGAGGCCCTGGCCAGCAGACAAGGCTGGGTTTAAGGACTCTGTTCTGACTGCTGCAGAACAAGCAGCACCAAGAAGCCAGCCGTGTGTGAGAGGACAGCTGCTGTCCTGGGGCAGCTCCTCAAACACTCCAACGCATCAGACAGGACTCCAAACAGTCAAAGATTACGCAAAGCTGTGGTCCCTCCTCCTTACTCCAGTTTGAGCTGCTTTCAGAAGCTCTAATTGACTCAGAGACCACATCATTAGCTTGATTGTAAGCCTTATTTTCACTTATAGCAGCAGCAACCTGACAGCAAAATAAGCCTTTAATCTGTCTTCGGCAAGAATCTTTGCCTGAAGCCCCCAAATCCCTCAGTGACAGGCAGCCTAGGACCGTGTCATAAAACTCTGATTTAACTCACCAAAAAGGAAACTTGGAGCCATTGAACCACGATTTCCTGGCAGCTTTCAATAGATCACTGCCAAGCAATACATAACAGGGCCAACGACCAATAGCACTGCCTGCCAGCAACCTGCATAGGTCCACACTTGTGGGAAGGGGCAGCAAGGCCCCCCACCCTGCCCTACAGCACAGCTCCTGCACTTACCTGACACAGAAATCAGCACAGGACAGGCTGTGAAGCACACAGCTCTGGTACCGTTTGTCAAGGCAGCACTCACACAGGCTCCAGCATCCAACTGTGGGTTCCAAAGGCACTTTAGGTCTACAAGACTCTGCAATTCCAAAATATTTTGCACTCTAAGGCTGCTTCTTCCGAACAACAGAAACATTTTCATCTTCAGAAGGATTTTAATCCTTCTCCTTTTACAGAATCTGCTTTTCCAGGGCATGGAATGGCTTAGATCCACTGACCTTCTTGACTTCTTATAACACTTGCACATGAGGAGGCATGCAGTTCAGTGAGCAGCATAAGAAAAGCCAAACTTAATGAAACACACAGAGCCTGCCAGGGTACGCTCTATGAACGAGCTCTGATGTAACCATCAGTCACCTTTCATCTTCTTTCAAAGCCTGAAGAGCAAGAACACCAAAGCAGCACATAACTTCCTCTTGGTACAGGAACTGAATGCTGCAGAGCCCATGCACCAGGCAGGAGCCCGAGCAGCAGCTCCAGAGGAAGCACTGAGCTGCTGTAAGGCCAAACTCACAGCACAGACAGAAAAGTTCAGAGGCAGTGTGCACACAGATCACTTAGCACTGCCCAGTTACCCAGTAATCCCAACACAACTCAGCCAGCAGCCCGACAGCAGCATCGCTACAGACACCTGACAGAGCTGTGTGCTTTACAGCACAGGCCCACAAACAGGCAGTAAGCCAGCATCCCCAGCACAGCTCCTTGTTCTCCTGCTCCCTCACTGCAGGGACCACCAAGCTCCCTCACAGGGGAGCCCACAGAGAACAAAGTTCACCTTCCTTCCCCTTGCTCTCCCACTCCAAGCAGTGCCCTGCTTGCTCGATTACAGAGGTAGGGATGTGGCTGAACCCCAAATGCTATGGCTGAAGTCCTGAAACAAGCACCATTTGTTATGGTCCTTCAGCTTCACCCCTTCCCTACTCCTGTATGTCTTCACATGGCATTTCTTCTAAGAGATAACAATGATCAAATATATGTGTTATAGCAAACTGCTACTCCCACACTTCATGGCTACTTTGGCCACCATGACTGCACACATCCCAGTTTGCCCAAAACTAAGCACTTCTAAAACCTGGAGTTCCTTTCTCGTGAAATCCAAGTGCCAGTCCACACCTTGGAAGAATTAAGAGCACTGCAGGAACACCACAAGCAGCAACTTGAGAGCAGCTCCTCCATGTGTGATCCTCCCAGCAGGATCTGCTCTGAGAACAGCTACAGAGCTGGCACAGCAGCTCCAGGCCCGGACAGCCTGTCAGCCCCACAGCTGGCAGCACCTCCACGCTGACAGCAAGACTTCTGGTCAGATGGCAGACAGCATTGGGCTCCGTACCACTTCCAGCCCAGAGGGGCTCAGCGTGCCAGACATCGCTTCATGTAACAGCAGCTCCAGGGCATCAGAGGTTTGTTCATTCCTGGGATTTGCTGCTTGTTCCTGAAGTTCTCATCCTTGTGTTGTCCAAGAACTCTGCAGAAAGCCTCATGCATGGTCTGGGGTAGGGAGTAAAATCCAACGCACCAGGCACAAACACCAGTGGCAAGATGCAGACACGTGCACTGGCGTATTGAGACTGATAGCATCCTCCAAAAATGCCTAAGCTGAAGCTTTCCTTTCCATTGCTTCTTTGTATACAAGCCTGCTGGGATTATTTCCACTTAATCCACACTGCACAGCCTTTTGTTCCTGTCACCAGGTGCAACAGCAGAGGCCGGAGCCACTGATCAGGACAGGGCCAACATTGTTGCAGCTCCTGCAGACAGGACAACAGCAGGTGGGATGGACAGTCCCACACAGCTCAGCACAGCCCAGGTGTGAGCAGACACTGGTAGGCAGCTGAGCGTGGCACCACAGCACTCCTCCACCTGCAGCCCAACTCCAGCTAACTCTCAGAGCACCCAGGCTGCCAGACGAGCAGCTGGTCTCCCCATCACAGCCCTGACCGAAGCTTTTTGTTTGCAGCACCATTTCTACTGCACTCTCAGCACTTTGCCGAGCTCTGTGCACCACTTCTCACTGCTTCCCCACTAGTGAGAGCCCTGCAACCCAACACAGCCCATCCTGCCTCAGGTTCCTCACCTCCGAGGAGTAACACAAACAGCCCGCCCATGAGCAACCAACGTTCACCAAGGGACAGCACGCTCCATTTCTCTTGCTGAAGCACCGACCATGAACAGCAAGCAAAGCAAGCACTGTTCCAAGGAAGGAGCTCTGCTGGTCTGCCAGGTGGCCCCGAGACAGGCACAGCACCCCGCAGCCCCGCACTGCCCAGGTCCCTGTGCTCACATCTCTGCCCAGGCACCCCCGGCACTGTCCCAGACCAACACTCCCCTTCCAGCCCCGGCACCGGAGGCTTCCAGAACGACCGGAGAGCCGCAGAGGAAGTGGCCTCGATCAGCTCCCACAGCGCGTTAAGTACCGCCACGTTAAGTGACCGAAAGCGTAGGATCGGACCGACGTTGAACTGGAACGCCGCTCGCTTATGTAACCCGTTGCCGTGCGAGTTCCAGTAACTAAAATCGCAGCGGGACGGATGGGCCGGCCATGCCCGGGCGCACGCAGCCCGCCGCTCTCCTCAGCTCCGACGCTGAGCGGCACGAACTCCGGCACGACCTCCGGCCACGGCGAACACGCCCGAACGCGGCCCTCGTCCGCCGCCGCACAGCGCAGCGAGGAGCCCGACGGGCCCGCAGACGCCGCGCCCGGCCGGGCCGCTAGCGGCTACAGGCCGGCCCGAGCGCGGGGCCGCGGCTCCCGCTTAAGAACCGCCCGCGCCGCTCCGGCCTCCGCGGCGCCGGGCCTCCGCCGCGCTCCGCTCCCCTCCGGCGGCCCCGCGCCCCCTGGCGGCCCCCGGAGCTCCCCGGGGCCACGTCGCGGCGATGGGGGGGGAGCGGGGGCAGCGCCGCCCGGTGCGGCGGAAGGCCGCGAGGCCGAGCCGTCCCCCCGCGCCCTGCCCCCGAGCCTCGCCCCGCCGCCCGGCCGGCTCCAGGCGGCGCCCCGCGGCCCGGCTCGGTCACGGCCGCGGGCCCGGCGTCGGGGCGGGCCGCGGGGCTCGGCCTTACCTTGTGGATTCTCTTCAGCGCCATTGTGTGCGCGGTGCGAGGAGGGGCGCGGGGAGGGGGCGGCCGCGGGGAACTACTTTCCGCGGGGGAGGGGAGGAGGAGGAGTGCGGAGGTGGCGGCGCGGGGGGAGGAGGAGGGGGAGGGGAGGAGATGAGGGGGGAGGGGGCCCCCAGAAGGCGGCGGTACGGCGAGGGGCCCGGCGCGGCCTCGCGCTGCTCCGTGGGCCGGCCGCGCTGCGCTCGTTACTGCCGCGCTGCGCCGCTCGCTCCGCCGCCGCTTTATGCGCTGCGCCGCGCCGCTCGGGATGACCCCTTCCGCGTATCGCTCCGCCGTGCCCTGCCCGCCGCCGCGCCGCCGCCGCCCGGAGCGAGGCGGGAGGAGCCCGGGAGAGAACGCCGAGGGGGGAGGGCCGGAGCCGGGCCGGGGGCGCGGAGCCGCGCGGGGCGAGGGCGGGCGGGAGGCGCGGGGACTATTTGCCGTGCGGCGCGCGCACAGAACTCTCCAGAAGGGGGAGGGGGAGAGCGCGGAGGGATACGACGGTGCCGCCGCGCGTGACGCAACGATCTCGCGAGAAGCAAACGCCTCGCGTGACGCAAAACACCTCGCGAGACGTAAAAGTCTCGCGAGTTGTTGCGGCGGGAAGAAGTCTCGGCCGCGCCGCGTCCGTAAGGGGCGGGAACGCGGGAGTTCCGGGCCGCCTGCGCCGCGCCCAGCGCACGGGCACAGATAGATACGGGCACGGGCACAGATAGATACGGGCACAGGCATAGATACAGATATGGGCGTAGATACAGGTGCGGGCACAGGCATAGATGCAGGCGGGCGGTCCGGGCTGTGCCGGAGTTGGAGCTGGAGCGGCCGGGCTCGGTGGCTCATAGGCACAGGCGGGCCGCGCGCAGCTCCAGGTGCCCTGATGGCCCCGCCCCGCCGGCGGTGCTCGGAGCCACGGCTCCGCGTTGGTAACCCTGAGCGCACGTCCAGCACCTGAAAGACGCCGAGAGCCTTTTACCTGATGCTGGCACTCGTAAGGCTTTCTAGCGAGTCTCCGGTTCCTGTTCCTTTTCAGCCGCTCAGAGCACAGCCGGGTGCCCGGTGCGTTCCTCCCTTGCACAGTGGACATTTGCAGTGAATTACAGCAGGGTTTTTAACCTTACCTGTCTGCTTACCTTCAGGTGCAGCAGGGCTGCTTTCTGCTCTTCTCATTCTCACGTGAAAGGCTCAAAGGAGAGACTGGAAGGTGAAATACTCAGCTCCACGCTGCAGGTGTGTGTGTCCAGCTGCCCCGTGCGGTGCTGGCAGCAGGGCTGTGCTCATCCTGCAGCACCCACAAGGCCCCTGGGGGAGCACAGCTTGTCTCTTGGTGTTTTCTCTACCAGCTTTAGCACACAAAGTGTCTCCTAGCACTGAGCTCTTATGCCACGGCTGAGCAGAGACATGCTTCGGGCTTTAGGCAGCAGCTTCACGTCCCACTCTCATGCTGAAAACAGCCCGTGGCTCTCAGAGCACTAGAATGCTGTCAGGACTTCAGTGCTAGCTGTCTGGGATTGCAGGAAGGGCAGCCCCCTGCTTGGCTCTCCTGCTTTACTTTACAGTGCTGCTTGGGCAGTTCTCAGAATGCCTTCAGGTCACAAACTCTGAGGACTGGGCCCTCCTTTTTCGGAGCTCTGGATTTTGTCACCAAATCAGAAAACTTTTGAGCTCACAGTGGCAACAGAAACAGCCTGGACTACTGTTTATTCCTTATCGAGCTCTGAAAAGCCCTCTCTGAACAACAGTTCGGGTTAGATATTAGGAGGAAGCTTTTCACACAGAGGGTGGTGACACATTGGAACAGGCTGCCCGAGGAGGCTGTGGATGCCCCATCCCTGCAGGCATTCAAGGCCAGGCTGGATGTAGCTCTGGGAAGCCTGGTCTAGAGGTTGGTGACCCTGCACATAGCAGGGTTGGAACGAGGTGAGCATTGTGGTCCTTTTCAACCCAGGCCATTCTGTGATTCTATGATTATAGAACTCAATCTGGATAATCAACAGCTGTGAAAGTAACAGTTTAAAAACACTTTCATTTTCATTTTTCTGCCAGGGATGTTTTTCTATTTCCTACCATATGGATGTGAGCTTCTCTAAGAAATGTAGAAAATTCAGTTTCATAGTTGTTATTGCAGAATCACAGAACGGTTTGTGTTGAGGGACCTCTAAAGGCCATCTGGTCCAACTTCCCTGCAATGAACAGGGCTGGGAGTACTGCTGGATGGCAGCCGGACACGAGGCAGCACTGTGCCCCCACAGCACCTCCCTGTGCTCCCACATCACTGATTCATACAGAGGGGACGTGGCTGCACAGGACCAGATGAGCTGAGAGGGTCTCAAACAGCCCCACACTGCCATGTGCCCCACCCTGATTTCCCATTCACACACTGCAACTCAAACCCAGAACTGACACAACTTTGAAGCCTGATGGAAGTGAGTTCTGCAGTGATTTGCTCTTGGTCTCAGTTAAATGTGCTTAAAAACACAGAGTTGAGAACCTCAATGGATGTTGAGGAAATTCCGAGGAGAGGGCAGGCTGTGTGCAGCATGCGGCCAGCAAGGCGTTAGGGCAACAGGAGCACAAAAACAAACTCTGCTCAGGAGACAGAGATTTTCCTTCATACATCAAAGCAATGTTGGGGGCTTTGTTTGCTTTTCTGTTGGTTTTGCTTTTAAGCAATGGATTTTTCTACAAGAAGAAAAAGGCTTTGGGGGAATTGCAGCGCATGGCGATCCAAACAAACGCACTGTCCACTATGCAGACACAGAAGCTCGTTTTGCTGTTTTGCTGATGTGGTTTCCATTTCTGGCAATTGCTACCCCTCCTCCCAAGCTCCATGGTTGTTTTGTTTGTTCTTTCACGAGCTTGTTCTGGTTTTGGTGCAAACCAAACTACAGCTCATGTTCACAGCATGGGGGATGTGCGCCACATGACCGGCTCCTGCCCAGTGTCTCTCCTCCACAAACCTCCCTCAGATGCACGTCCTGGCCAAGAAGCAGCAGTGGTTTCCTGTAAATGGGTGGGAGAGGAGGAACAAGGAAAGAACATGGCCACACCCCCATGTAATTACAGCTGCGCAATGGGAAAAGGAAGCCAGGCGTGCACAAGGTGGCACCTGGAGAACGGCAGTCAGTGGTCAATGGTTGCATGTCTGGATGGAGATCAGGGACAAGTGGTGGCCCCCAGGGGTTTGTGCTGGGACTGATGCTCTTTAATATCTTCATCAGTGACACAGAGTGGGATTGAGTGCCCTGTCCCTGAACACAGCCAAGGTCTGGCTGGATGGGCTGTGAGCACTGATGAAGCTGTGGGTGTCCCTGTGCACCCAGGGGGTTGGACTGGATGGCCTTTGGGGGTCCCTTCCAACACAAACAATTCTGTGATTCTATGATTCTGTAACCTGTTACAAATGAGAAGTGGCTGGAAGGTGTGTGCACCTGCAGTATCACACAGCTGTGATCTCACTCCACTCAGGCCTGTGCTGTGCCCACTGCCCACATAGTGGGAGGTGAGGAGATATGTGGATGCCCGCTTCCCTGTGCCACGAACTGGGTGAGAGGCTGCTCACGAGCAGGAGAGCAAAGGTTCCTGGGTCCTGGGGTCATTGCTGGTGTCCCAGCACAAGAACGGGAACACCTCAAAGAGCAGCAGCCAGGAACAGCCCCAAAAGCAGAAGGGCTCCTCCATCTGACATGTGCACGAGAACCCATTGCCATGGGCACTGCAGGTGCTGGCAGCTTAAAGGGCATTGAAAGAAGGCAGATAAATCACAGATTTATCTATTATCAAATGGAGAAAATCTCTCAGGGAAGAAGCTTTGATGAGAACCCCAATGGATTTTGAGGAAATTCCAAGGAGGGGGCAGGCTGTGTGCAGCATGTGGCCAGCAGGGTGTTAGGGCAACAGGAGAACCAAAGCATCCAGTGTGTGCAGACAGGAGGCAGGCACAGGGCAGAGTCTGGAAGCAAAAGCGAGATGGGCAGAAATAGAGTGGGGGTATTGAAAAAGCAGGAGAGTGGCACAGCCACGGGCAGGAGCTGGGAGTGGGAACAGACAGGGGTGGAAGCAGGCATCTGCCTGTTTTGGCCAGCCTTGGCACTGGGGAGGCGCACAGCTCTCTGCCTCCATCAGGAGCCCGGGCTGTGGCAGTGCCCAGGTGGGTAAGCAAGGTGGGCAGGAGCTCCAGCCATGCCCTTGGTGCCCATGAGCAGAGCCCCAAGCTCCCCTGTGGCTGTGTTGGGAATGCTGTGAGTCAGCCTCACTGGAGGAATCCATTTCTGCCGAAGTTCTGCTTGCTTTACCCACTCTAAGCAAAAACAAGCTTGCTTTCATTTCCTTCCTCATTCTATCCCAACACAGTGCCTTTGTGAGTTGGCAGGGATACTGGGGTTTTCCGAGCCATAAACTGCATGTTGTAACCTGCAGCATTCCCCCAGAGCTGCCCAGGGCAGTATTCCTGAAGCCACAGACACCCTCCAGGTGCCCAGCGTGGGAGGCTCCACGCCTTCCCTTGCCACCTACAGCTGCCAGAGCAGCTTTCATTTTCGTTTTGTTCTCCATTAGGTTTGCAGCAGCCGTGCAGCTCTGCCCTCTCCCTGCACTGGCAGTGGTGCAGACCCTGCGCATAGCGGTAGCATCCAGAGGAAGTGGAGGCCGTGGCCGTGTGTGTTGAGCACTTACACGCCCATTGCCCACAGACAGACATCCCAGTGCTGAGCATCACAGCTGCATCTCGGTGAGTGCCCACGGGTGCAGAGCAGGGGTGGCATTAGCAGGGCAGCAGAGTGGTCAGTAAGGCACTGATTTGGGCATACAGGGTGTGGGCTGTGCTTGCAAGCTTTGGACTACTGACTGATCTCTGGGCATGCACATCCACACTCCACCGTGCTGATGTGGATCTCGGGGGTCCCAGCTGCTGCTGCCCCCCCTTCCTGCTTGCAGATGTCCCAGGACCTGTCGACAAGGAGCAGCCCTGCTGCTTTGCTCATCCCCGAGCCCCGTGCAGGGCGGGCACGGCATGCAGCATGCGTGCTGCTGGCTGTGTGCTTCGTGGTGCTGTTCCTGACTGGGGAACCCCTGATGCCCATCGCCCACCGTGCCTGCACCCAGCTGGCAGCCCTGCAGCTCGGGGTGCTGCTCAAGGGCTGCTGCTGCCTGGCAGAGGAGATTTTCCACCTGCACTCCAGGTGAGCACCACTGGGGGGATCCACTCCCTGTCTCTGACTCCCACCTGGCCCCTCCAGCCCAGGTGTCAGCTCACCTCTTGTCCCTCGCCCATCCAGGCACAGCGGCAGCCTCTGGCAGATGCTGTGTGCCTGCTTTCCTCCACGCTGGCACCTGGCCCTGCTCCTTGTCAGCAGCTCAGCCTACCTGGACCCTCAAGAGGACAATGGGCACAGCCCCCGCCTCACCCTTGCCTGCCTGTGCCAGCTGCTGGTCCTTGCCCTCGGGCTGCAGGTAATGGGATGCTCAGCAGTGACGTTCAGTCACCTGGCTCCATATCTGCACAGTGCTGCTGGGAAGGGGCTGGGCACACCCTGCCCTGCCCTCCCATCTGCAGGGCCACCGCTCTGGGTGCTGGCATGGGCATTGCCCTCTGCCCCCTCTGAGCCCCGCTGCTGTTTTTTTTCTCCTTTCCCTCTGCAGAAGCTCTCGGCGGTGGAGGTGTCAGAGCTGACTGAGAGCTCAAAGAAGAATGTTGCTCACGGCCTTGCCTGGTCCTACTATGTCGGCTACCTGAAAATAGTTCTGCCACGTACGTAGCTGTTCCCCTGCACTATCACAGCTACAGATGGAAATGGCTCCCGCAGCCCTCCCCCTTCCACAGCGAGGAGCAGACCCCTATGCTGCTCTCCCCCCAAACCTCGCTCTTCCTCCAGGCCTGAAGGAGTGCATGGAAGAGATCAGCAGGGTCAACCCCATGCTGCGGGCACACCGCGACACCTGGAAGCTCCACATCCTGGTCCCACTGAACTGTGACATCTGGGATGACCTGGAGAAGGCTGACAGCAACATCCAGTACCTGGCAGACCTCCCTGAGACCACCCTGACCCGGGCAGGCATCAAAGGAAGAGTCTACAAACAGAGCCTGTATGTGATCAGGGATAAGGACAACAAGGTATGCTGGGGCAGCCCTGCATCCTCAGGTGGGTGAGGTGTCCCCAGGTGCAGGTCCTGCCTGTGTGGCTGGGGATGGAGGCAAGGCAGAGCTGCACTGCTCAACCCATAGAACCACCGAACGGTTGGGTTGGAAGGGCCCTACAGCCCCCCAGCCCACCACTGCCGTGGGCCGGCTGCCCCTCACCAACTCGGGCTGCCCAGGGCCCATCATGGCATGGTGCACCTCCAGGGATGGGCACCACAGCTCTGTGCTGCAGCACCAACCTCAGTGGGTGCTGCCCTCCCCACGTGTCTCCCCGCAGCCCAGGCCCTGCGTGCTGGAGTTTGCGTCCCCGCTGCGGACGCTGTACGCCATGGCGCAGGATGAGTGCGCGGCCTTCGGCCGGGAGCAGCGGCTGGAGCAGGCCCGGCTGTTCTACAGGACGCTGCGGGACATCCTGGGCAGCTCCAGGGAGTGTGCGGGGACGTACCGCCTCATCGCCTATGAGGGTGAGCACGGTGGTCTGCTGAGAGCCCTGCCCAGAGCCCCGCCTCAGCACGGACACGAGCACGGCTCTGCCTTTTCTCTTTCCAGAACCGGCAGAGGCCGAGAGCCACTTCTTGTCCGGGCTGATCCTCTGGCACCTGCAGCAGCAGCAGCGTGAGGAGTACATGGTGCAGGAGGAGCTCCCCCTGGGCACCTGCCCCATGGAGCTCAGCCTGCAGATCAGCTCCTCTGACCTGCCCCAGCCTCTGCGCAGTGACCGCCCCTGAGCCCAGTGCTCCCCTGGCACCCAGCAGCAGCTGCCTGCAGCCCTGTGGCACGCTTTCCATTACCATTTGCATTGTGTATTTCTCGTGTACACACATGAATGTTTGGTGTGTTCTAATCTGGTTTTGCCTTGTGTCATATTGAGAGAGTTGAGGATGTTCAGCATGGAGAAGGCTCCAGGGAGACTCACTGCAGCCTTCCAGGAGCACTGGGAGCATGTGAACAGGAGGAGTAATGACTTTTTACATGGGCAGACAGTGACAGGACTATGGGGATAACTTTTAAACTAAAAGAGGGGATTTAGGTTAGATGTTAGGAAGAAATCCTTCACCCAGAGGGTGGTGAGGCAGTGGCACTGCTGCTCGGAGCTCTGGTGCCCCATCCCTGGAGGTGCCCCATGCTGTGGATGGGCCCTGGGCAGCCTGAGCTGGGGGGCAGCCAGCCCATGGCAGAGGTGGGGCTGGGGGGTTGTAAGGTCTTTCAAACCAATTGTTCTGTGATGCCATGGTTCCATGATGTCAATGATCGTAGTCCTCAAAGGACCCTTCCAACCCAAACCAAACCCACTCTATGGTTCTATGATTTTGAAAGACCCTCCTAACCCTACCATTCTGTGATTATGTGAAGTGTTTTCCTCTTGTGGGTAAGTTGCATGATCCCAAATCTTGGGCTCATTGGCAACACCCCAGTCCCAGCCACACGTGTGCGTGTGCCACATCCCTGAGCTGACACATCCCAGCAGTAATTATGCACACAGACATCCTCATCAGGCCTGGGCACCTCTGCCTTTGGGCAGTCCTACAGCACGAGGAACCTCCCTGCATCTGCTCCATGCAGCCACTTTATGCTGGCAGCCTTCTGCAGCACCCAGTGTTTCTTCAGCCTCAGGTGATGTGCCAGGCCCCTGGCTGTGCCCTCTGCCTCACTCCAGCAGCAGTCCTGGCTGATTTAGGGCAAATGCTTAACCTGAAGAGGGGCTGTGCCTGGACTCAGCCTATGGGGACATGCCTGGACCTCTGCAGTGAGAACACCCCAGCAACCAGCAGCACCCACACCGTTTGCCCACACAACGTATGCCCCCTGCCTCCTGATGCCAAAACCCCTTTGTCAGAAGCCTGGGGAGGCCACAGAGCTCTATGCTGTTGCTCTGTGCCTCAGTTTCCCCTTTTGCTAAAAGCAGACAGGCAGTTCAGTTGGATTGTTATCTTCTGATGCTGCAGCATCCCTACATGGATTCGATCCTTTTGATCCCTCCCAGCTTTCAAGACTTTAGCAAAAGGATGAGGCCACGTGAGAGCTCCCAGGTGCTCAGCCTGCACTTCCAGCCTCAGGGAGGAGTCAGCTGCTGCAGGGCTGAGCACAGCGGCCCGCAGGCCATGGCTGGCTCCATCTTCTGGGCAGCCCCAACTCCTGCCTCTTTCCAGCCTTCCTTCCCAGGACAAAGCCTGGCAGCTGCCACAGTCCATGCAAATACTGGGGCTCCATCCCCCTTGCACAGGGCAGCATAGGGTGGGAAATGCCTCTCCCGGCTCCAGCAAGCTTACAGGGAGATGTGGCTGCACATTGGTCCTTCTGGGATTGGAGCTGGAACCTACAGCAGGATTCAGTAAAGCCTTAATCTGCAGCCTAATCTCTGGGCACTGCATCTGCACAAGAGACAAACGCGACAGATGAAAGGGTGGGGAGCTCCTGCAGGCGGGGGGAACACGCTGGTGCTGCTCTGAGGGCTCTGCTCACCCTGCGTGGGCTGGGGGCAGCGATGCTGGCCTGAACCCACCGCCCGCCCCTTGTTCTGGAGTGTGGGAGCATCTGCCGGGCTGGAAGTGTGCGGTGCCAGGGCTGAGCTCAGCAGTAGGGCACAGCCAGCGGCAGCTGCAGGGCAGCAAAGCCAGCAGCACCACGGCCCGCAGCTGCGTGCCTTGTCCCTGCAGGGATACTTGTGCAGCAGCAGCACACAGCTCCCTCCTGGCTGCCAGGTCAGGTCTGGGCACTACTCCCCACCACCACCCTCAGCAAGGCCAGGTTGGGCTCAGCACTGGGGACAGGCGTGGGCGCACAGGGACGGTGCAGCTCGTTCCAGCGGCGTCGTGCTGACGTCTGACAGCACAGCTCGCGCTGCTGCTCAAGGACAATGGCAGGGCCAAGCAATGGCAATGGGACAGCCGTGGCTGGTCGAGTGTGGCGGGCAGGGCTGGTACAGAGAGGCAGCAATAGCAAGGCTCAGCAGTGGAAGCTCCACCACACCTGACCTGTTAGGACAGCTGATGGTGCCGCTGCTGGCTGGCACTCACAGGGGTGCTGTCTGTAGCAGCCATTGTCACCCCCTCAGACGGGGGGGTACAGAAGCCCCGATGTCCCTGCACACCACCTGGTTACGCTCTGGGTACCAGGCTGCCAACAGGAGCAGAGCTGTGTGTGAGGCACTGTCTTACACCTGAGCACCTGAGCATGAGTGCTGCAGGACAGGAGCACAGCCCCAAGCCAAACACTGCAGAGAGGTGCCCAGCATGCGCTGCAGCCTGGCTTAGTGCTCTTAGCTGCAGCAGCGCATTGCTGCTGGGGGGCTTCTGCTGCTGCTCCTCCCCACAGTGAACACACACTGAGCTTTCCAGCCAGCCCTGCGGTGTGACTGTAGGGTTCTGTGCATCCAGGGCTCAAAGAGCTGATGACCAAATTGGCACAGGGGACACACGTGGTGTTAGAGCCCTTGAATTGCTCTGCATACAACCTCTCCTTGCTGCAGCCTGTATTTCATGCAGGAGATGTGTGGAGCACAGCCTCATCTGCAGGACCCACAGGTCACCCATGCAGCTCTGCCAGGGTCAGACTGGAGCACAGACACCGCTGCCCTGTGCTCCTGGCCTTGTTCAGTGGGGACCATGCTGGCCCAGAGGTGCCTGGCACAGCCACCCACAGCCCAGGTCACCTTCAGTAGCAGGGCTGAGCTGGCAGCACCTCACAGGGTGGCACGATGCTGGCATGCTGCGTCACAGAGCAGCAGATCTGCTACCCTGCAAGGGCTGGCAACTCAGAAACCACCTCTGTGGAGTCTACCACCACCCAGTGATGATGGGACAGGCCCAGCATGGAGCAGGGAGGTGATTTCATGGTCAGGACTGGGTGAGCAAGGCAGAGCCAAATGTACCCTGGCTGCACAAGGACTGGGGCCAGGGCCAACTTTGGACACAGCTTCCAAGCAGGATCGAGGCTTCCCACAGCTCCTCCTATCCCAGCAGGTTCTGTTCTGTCTTTAACCCCTGCTCTTGCATGTCCTCTTTGCCATGGATGAAAAGCCACCACTGCAGCCTGCCCTGCAATCTGCACTAATGCAGCACCTGTCAGAGACAGAGGGCTGGGAAGGTGGAGGCAAAGTGCTCCCTAATTCTTGCCTTTCTGTTTGGATACAGTGAATTTCGGATCTCTTTTTATGGAGGAACTCATGTATTAAAGATCTCTATACTTGAAATCCCAGGAACATTAAGGCTGACTCCAGCTATACGAGCCAATATTTAAAGGAGGAGATGGAGCTAAGAGCTGGTTTAGGATTAGGATGAGAAGTGTTTTTGGCTTCAGGAGCCAGTTCCAGCCCACATGGCCCCAGTGGGTGCCAGAAGCCAGCAGGAGCTCTGGTCCCCAGCCTCACATCAGGCACATGAGACCCTCTGCAGGGGTGAGCAGTCTGCCAGCAGGCTGCCATCCGCTCCAGCAGGGCTGCACCTCATGGAGCTGCCTTCCCCCGGTGTGCCTGGGGAGTTTTTAACTCTTACCTCTTTTGCTCAGAACTCCCAGCTGATGCTGACGTCTGTGACTCTGGGTTTAAGGACAGAGAATTCCTCCTCTGTATTACTGCTGGGTTTAGGGGTTGAGAGGTCAGCATCAGTATGACCCTTACAGCATGTTCCTGTAAAGGACACTGAGAGCTGGAAACATCATCCAGCTCTTCTGGGAAACATTGTTCCTCTGCTTGCTGCCCTGTGATGGATGGGGCACCTCGGACAGGTTGGGCTGCTCCTGCTGCACCGCTGAGCAGCAAGAAAGCTTTAAAAAAGGTAACTGGTGTTGCTCATCAACAACAGAATCTGTCCTTTACTGCAAGATGTTTCCTTCAACCTGGTGACATTTTTACTGCCTTCAAAGGCTGACATTTTCAAGTCCTCTCAGACACGTCTGGGTATCAATCCCAAGCATCATTTAAAGGCTTTGGGTATCGTTGCCGCTTGCCATGGGGAAATGACCTTTTTTCCTCTTTAAGCCTCTGCACGGTTTCCCTGGCCCACAGACCATGCAAAAATCACTGCTTTGCTCAAAGTCAGAAGAACTTGTTGAGCCATTTAAATTCATCCAGTTTGCGGTGGCAGAGATGATAAAGGGCTGTAAGAATGCTTATGTATTCACATGTCAATATCAGCAGCGTAAGGACAGACGTGGCTTCAAGGAAGAACTAACTTATTTGTGAAGCTGAGCAGCTGATGCGGATGTTGGCTTTCTCTCTCCTGCTCTTGCTGGTGGTTAGTGACTGGATCATGGAAAATGTGTTGAGGTTTCCTATTTTTGCTTACGTTCCCAGGAACAACTGTCTGCTGTGTCTTGAGAGCTCGTGCCAAGCATATACCTTGGCTGTCATGTTTCTGTCTAGTGAAAAAGACAGAATGAATTTTGAAGCTTTAGTAGTTTTGTGAAGTGTCTTGGATGTAAATGGTGGCATGAATGAAACATCGAGAAGCCCCCAAGCCTGACTTCTGGTGACAAGAGGTAGAAAGGGTTCTTGGCTTTGCTGGTGCTCTCACACACCCAACAGACTCATTCTGATGCTTTTGGAGCAGTTGGTAAGAAATCACAGAATAGCTTAGGCCTTAATGATCACCCGGTTCTAACCCCCCTGCCATGGCAAGGTTGCCACCCACCAGATCCGGCTGCCCAGAGCCCCATCCAGCCTGGCCTTGAACACCTCCAGAGATGGAGCAACCTGTTCAGCACCTCATCACCCTCTGAATAAAAAAACTCTTCCCATTACCTATGTAAAACTCCTGTTTTTTAGCTTAAAGCCATTCCGCCCCATCCTATCACTGTCACACCGTGTAAAAAGTCAGTCTAAGGATAGCTGAGAATAGCTAAAAAGATTCATCAGGACTCATTTTTATTTGTATCCTTAGATCTCACACCGATTAACCTCTAAAGAGAAGTCAGTCTGATTGGTAACTGTGCAGGCACTGGGTTTTTACAGTCAGCTTTGCAGTGGTGCTCACGAGCTATCGGCAAATACGTGTGCATGCAGCCAAGGAGGGCTGTGTGCTGCAACGGAGAAAAGCGCCCTGTGCTCCGGCACAGGAAGGAGCTCGCAAGGCTGCTGACTGAGAAGGTCCCACGAGGCACCGCACACCGGAGGTGGGCAGCAGCGACTGCAGCGATGCTATGCTGCCCTCCAGTGTTGCATGTTAGTTAGCTATATTCTCAAATTCTCAAAGCCGACATGAAGTTCGTCCTTTCAAAGCTTGGCGGCTGTTCCCCAAGAAAAGCTCTTGTGATCACACTATTTTGCTTTTTTTTTATGTCGGAAAAAGCCTGATTGAGAAGCGGGCTTATTTGACGTGGTAGAGAAAAGCAGCAGGATCCCCAGGGCCACTTCTCTCCGTGCTTAGAGTTTGGCATCCTCCCCATAAGGTGAGTGCATATAAATTACATTTGAGAGCCACCAGCACAACAGAAACTTTCCTGGGGCTGACCTGATGCCCTTGCACGCTGCAACTGCAACTCACACTTGAGCTTTTAAACTCTGGTAGAGCACACATGGAGTCAACATACACTTCAATCCCCACATCCCAGTTTTTAACCAAACTGCTAGCCAAGTGTCTGAAATGCGCATTTCTCTCAATTGCTCACATTTGCATCTGCAGTGCCTATTTCCCCAGCTGTAAGTGCTGTGGTTTAAGTTCAGCTGGCACCGACAGTGGCTGTGTTGGTCTGACAGTGGTCCTCAGCAAGACTTAGATCTCAAAGAAAGGTGCATTTCTCTTCCTACAGGAGGACAGCTTCCACCTCTTTGTCCCAAATGCCAGCTCTCCACCTTAGGGCTCCCAGCAAGGGCAAATGGAGGGTTGAAGTGATCTCTCCAGTTACTTTCCAACACCAAAACCAGCATTTGGTTAGGAGCAAAGTGTGGGTCTCTGAGGTGCTGCTCCATGCTGTGGATAAGAACATTTGTATTTTCTAAAGGCAGGTTGAAAAAACAGTTCTACATCAGTCCCAAAGGCATTTCCTGGGCTTGCTTCCTCCTCCAGAAGCATGCTGTGGTATAGCTGCTGAATGTTGGTGCTGGCACACCGGGTCCTGTAGGCTCTATGAGAAAAGCTGTGCCAGGGGCTGCAGCAGGGCCAGCCATGCACAGAGCCAGCCTGGCCTGTAGAGCAAGCTGCTAATTGATGGCAAGGAGTTATTTGGTGCTAAAAGAAGCAGCAAAATGTAAGAGGTGCAGCCCCCACAGTGACCAGCAATGCTACAAGCCGAGCTGGCTGTCAGGCTGCCCAGCCCCAGGGAAGTCACTGCCCCCAGGCTCAGTGCAAAGCAGTGCTGTGAGCATCACAGAAGCCAGGTGGCACCTCAGGGCCTCACAGTGATACCACAGGGACTTGCTATAGGTCCACCTATCAGCACTGCCATCTTAAAGGGGTCAGGTCCCACTCCATCCATTCTTCCTCCTTGGTGCACCCCTATGACATCAGTCCCTTCTCATCTCCAGACCATACCTACACAGAAAACAAGCAGGTGCCAGGTTTGAAGCCTCCTGAAGGAAGCCACAAGCCAGCACAGCGTAGGTTGAAAGACAATGTCACCTTCATGGTGAACCAGCCTGAGTGCCAAGGGACAGCAGGATGCTGAGCCATGCATGGCCAAGTCAGGCACTGACAAATCAGTGTTTGTGTGTGTAGGGGATAAGGCATCCCCTTGGCTGCCCTTCACTGGAAAAGAAGCCTCTCTCTCCAGACCACGGCTACCTTTTAACGATGGCAAAACAGGCAGCCCTCAGGGTGATCTCATGTCCTGTTCACGTGCAGCATCTGAGGCACAGACTTAGATGTGATCCATCCAAATTGTTTATTACAGGTTCTAACATCCCTTATATACACTCACAAGTTTTCTCTTTTAACTTTCCCACCCGCCTTTACACGTCAACAAATCATTCCACAGACACTCCTGGACCGTGCACACAGGCACTGATCCAATCACAGCCACCAACCAAGAGGTCGATCCTGGACACGCACTCTCCCTCCAACCAGGGCCATTACTGCACAGCCACCACGCAGCTCACTTCATAGAATGGCTTGGGTTGAAAAAGACAACAGTGATCATCTAGTTTCAATTCCCTGCTGTGTGCAGGTTGCCAACCAGCAGCCCAGGCTGCCCAGAGCCACATCCAGCCTGGCCTTGAATGCCTGCAGGGATGGGGCATCCACAGCCTCCTTGGGCAACCTGTTCCAGTGCATCACCACCCTATTTTCCCAACTGAGCACCTCTATCTGCCAAAAAATAGCCATCAGAGCAGCACGCAGAGTTGCACTGGCTCTTTGTAAGTGGAGGCAGCCTAACTGACTGTGATGACCAAGGCAGAGCTCAAATGACACACGTACTGGTCTTCAGGCAAGGATGCTTCTTGCCATTTCATGCATCATTTTATTCTCTCTGCTTTTTAAAAGCAACCAGTCAGCCTTTGTTCCTGCTATTGCTTCCATTAGCCTATGACAAAGTGCAAAATTTCTCATCTGTGCCATGTCAGAGCTGCCTTACTTCACTTTGTTTGTCCTCTTATAGAGATGTCCTTGGTTCTCAGCTTTGCTTTCTCACACCATTTATCTTGCTCCACAGCTTCTGCTCTCAATTCCCACAGTCACCCCCACACATCAGAACTGCACTTGTCTGCCCAGACCAACCAACAGCAGCACAACTCTGCTGTGAGGGCTCATCTGAGGCTTCTCCAGGTCCCTCGCAGCTAAGCAACTTGAACTCCCTGCATCAGGCCTCTTCTGCATTAAGAAAACCGCTTTGTAGGTACTGTGAATGGACTGAAAGCTCCTCTAACTGCAGGCCCTCCTGTTTTTCTTTGCAAAACCGGGCAAACCAGTCTGAGACCTGCCAGGCAGGGCACAGCAAGCCACGCAATTCCCTTCCGTCTGTTCTCAGTGCCTGCAGTGCTCAGGGAACACTTCGTGCTGCCGGGCGTTTGTTGTTGGACAGCTGATACCTCGCCCAGCCTGCGAGCGGCTGCTTGAGGCCATCCGTCCCGCGCCAGGCAGAAAGGGTGGCGGCACTTGTTTTTCCAGACAGCCCCGCAGACAGTAACGAGATTTCAGTTTCATTAACCCGCGGACCAAATGCCGTGGGGGGAAAGCACGGCAAATGGGAGCAAGTGCATCTGTGCCCAGCGGCCGGCTCTGCTCCCGGGACCCAGCACAGGAAAAGCTGGGCAAGCAGCCCAACGTGCGGCCGCTGGGGCCTGAAGGACTCCGCTTCCAGCAGCCTGAACCGCGTCCTGCAGACCTCCTTACAGCCGCACACTGACCAGCCCTTCCCACCGCGCCGCTCGCAGCGCCAGCGACGTTCGGGAGGAAAAGCACCGCTACGGCCCCGCCCCCAGCGCGGCGCCCCGCCCCCAGCGCGGCGCCCGGGGCCGGGACGCCCCGCCTCAAAATGGCGGCGCGCTGGGCGGAGCTCCCGCGGGGGGGGCGGGGCCGAGCGGCGGCAGCATGGCGGACGATAAGGTGAGTAAAGCGGCGAGCCGCGCTCCGCGGGCTTGGCTCGCGGCTTCGCCTGCAGCTGCGCGTCCCCGCAGGACTCGCTGCCCAAGCTGAAGGACCTGGCTCTGCTGAAGGGGCAGCTGGAGAGCCTGCAGCGGCGCGTGGAGGACGAGGTGCACGCCGGCGTGGGGCAGGTGAGGATGGCCGGGCCCGGCTCTGCCCGGCTCTGCCCGGCTCTGCCCGGCTCTGCCGCCCCGCGCCCTGACGCGCCGTGCCCCGCAGGGCGGCTCGCTGCTGGCCTCCCCGTTCCTGAAGGGTTTCCTGGCCGGGTACCTGGTGGCCAAGCTGCGTTTCTCGGCGGTGCTGGGCTTCGCCGTGGGGACGTGCACCGGCATCTACGCCGCGCAGAACTACGCCGTGCCCGACGTGGAGAAGACGGTGCGGGACTACCTCAGCTCGCTGCGGAAAGGAGGGGAGTAGCGGGGCTGCCCGGCGCCGAGCGGCGGCTCCCGGGACGCTGGCACGCCGTCCCCGCCCGGTGTTCGCTCTCCCCCCGCGGCTCAGCCGCGCCGCGCGCCGGGAGGCGGATCTGCCGCTCCGTCGGGAGGAGCGAAGCCGTTCCCTCGCGCCGCACGGGCGACGCGGCAGGTAACGGCCTCTTGTAGTCGGGCTCATTAAACTCGTGGCGTTTTGTCTCTTTTGAGTATCCCGAGGTGGGGGTGCGTACGGCCCGCCGTGCCGGCCGTCGCCCTTGGTGCTGCTGCCCGGAGATGGCCGTGCGTGGGAAAGCTGCCGGCGCCCCGCTCAGCCCGTCGCGGCGCGGGCTCTGGGGGCTGATGCTGCTCTCCTCCGTGGCCATATACGGCTCCCACGCTCCGCTCCTCGCCCTGTGCAAGGTGGATGGCGCGATCCCCTTCAGCTCCTCGGCCGTGGTGGTTCTCATCGAGCTGACGAAGCTGGTGCTCTCCCTGCTCTTCCTGCTCGCCTGGGACCGGCAGCTGCTCGGGGCCGCGGTGTCCTGGCACCACGTCACTCCCTTCGCCCTTTCAGCCCTGCTCTACGCTGCAAACAACAACCTCGTGGTTCACATGCAGCTCTTCATGGATCCCAGCACCTACCAGATCCTGAGTAACTTGAAGATCGCCAGCACCGCGCTCCTCTACAGCCTCCTCCTGCGCCAGAGGCTCCGCGTGCGCCAGTGGCTGGCGCTCTGCCTGCTGATGGCTGCCGGGCTGAGCTACAGCTGTGGGGGTTTGCGGGACCCACGGGGCTCTGACAGCCCCTCTGCCATGCAGCTGCACGTCACGCTGGTGGGCTTGCTGCTGATCTCGGTATACTGCCTGATATCAGGCCTGTCTGCTGTCTACACAGAAGCTATCCTGAAAACCCAGGCGCTGCCTCTCAACCTGCAGAACCTCTTCCTTTATTTCTTTGGGGTCCTGGTCAATTTGGCCGGCCACTTCTGGAGCAGCGCAGAGAGAGGTTTCCTGGAGGGCTTTTCCTCCTGGGTGCTGGTGATTGTGGTCAGCCAGGCCTTGAACGGCTTGATTATGTCTGTGGTCATGAAGCACAGCAGTAACATCACCAGGCTCTTTGTGATCTCCTGCTCCATCCTGGTCAACGCTTTGCTGTCTGTTGCCCTCTTCAACCTGCAGCTCACCCTCCTCTTCTTCATTGCTGTCTCCTGCATTGGCCTCGCTGTTCACTTGTACTATGGGGTGACGTAGCTGCGGCCTCCCTGCCCTGCGTGCACCAGGGCAGCCCTTAGCTGTTACTCAGGGGTGTTCTTGCCTGTGCTGGGCCTGGCGTGGGGCACAGTGGTGCCTCCCTCCCCTTTTGTTCACAGGAGGAGGCAGGGTGGCCCAGTGTGAGTCTCTGCTGCCCCAAAGCAAATGTACTTTGGGAGAGCTTTGCTCAGCGTACCCCTGCTCAGGAGAAGGGGAGAGTGCCCTGCCTGGGCCAGGCCTCGTGCTTCTTTATCCCATACTTTCTATATTCGGTAGGCCCAGGCTCTAGAGTGGATCCTGAGCTCCTTCTCATGTGGTGTGTCACACTTCTGCTGTTTTCCCCATCTTCTGCACACCAATGCGCACGTCTGTCCCCTGTGCCAGTAAAAGCTGCTGCAGGGTTAGCCCTGGTGTGCTGCTCATGAGCTTGCACCAGCCCTGCTGCCAGAGCAGTGTGCTGCTGCCAGGAGAGCCCTGCACCACGGCTGGGGGTTTCTCCCACCCTTCCTCTGCAGTATTCCACCCCAATCCTCAGCCCAGCCCCTGGCTGGAGGTCTGGTATCCTTGGACCCCATTTGCCTGTCCTGGGCACAGCATTGCTGTCTACCTCTGTGGACAGAAATTATAAGGGGAGTCTTATGTGCTCTCCAGAGAGGCAGCAGCACCTGAATTTGTACAAGTGTGGTGTGACTACTGAATTCCTGGTGGGCAGAAGTCACTGCTGGCTCTGGTACGGTTATTAAAGCTGTGGTTCAGTGATGTGCATGTGTTTGTCCTCCCTGCAGGAAGATGTCAGTTTCACTTGGCAGAGCCCAGTACTGCCCTGTTTAGTAACACATCTGAGCCTGGCACTCCTTGGTGTGGGGGCACTCGCTTTATTGCACTCGGCAGCACCCCTAGGGCCATCAGCCCTCCCATGGCACCAGCTGTAGCCTCATGCTTGTGTCAGCCTGCTGCCACAGAGAGCCCTACCTGTGCTGTTCAGAAGGCAGTGTTGGTTGGACTGGGGGTGTTGTGCTGAGCAGCAGTTGTTGCTGTGGCCTGCACGTCAGCTGGCAGCAGCAGGAGGGACCAGCACCCGCTCTGTCCTTGCTGCCAGGGTGGCTGTTCCCACTGCTCAGGGACTCTGGCTCAGGGTGTCTGCGTGGTGGCATCAGCTGAGCTGTGTCTTCTGGCCTCCTGCAGCTGCTGGTTGTGTGTGGAGAGCTCCACGGCATCCCGCAGCACCTCCTGCAGCAGTGCCTGGTACCGCTGCTTCAGTGCTTCTGCCCGCTCCTCTCCCTGGCGCCGCTGGTCCTGGAGCACCTGCAGGGACACACAGGGACCCTGGCACCAACCTGGCCTCTGCGAGCAGAGCCGTGCCAGCAGCCATGGTTCAGTCCCCACCTGCTGCAGGTGCTGCCTCCAGGCCTGCATCTCCTGCCCATGGCCCTGCAGTAGGGTGTCCACGTGCTGCTTGGCTGCCTCTCGCTCCCTGCATGCTGCCTCCAGGCTCAGATGCAGTACAGCCACCTCCTGTTGCAAGCGAGCTGCATCCTGCTGCGGGGACAGGGATAAGGACAGGGCAGCACTGGGATATCTGTGGGAGCCTGGAGCTCTTCAGGTCTGCTTCTCCTACCCTGTGCTCTCAGGCTCCCCTCCCATGCTCACCTCCTGGTCTGGTACTGCCCCGTCCTGGAGCTCCTGCTGGAGGAGCAGCTGGTGCTGAGTCTGCAGCTGCTGCCTCTGAGCCTCTGCCAGGGAGCATTCAACTTCCTCAGACTGGCATGGCTCATGCTGGTTCCCTGCCTGACAGAGGCAGGTCCGTGGGGTGCACAGCAAAGGGCTGGGTGCAGGGGGACCTGGGCTACTTCTGGGCAGGGACCTGGGGTCTCACTCACTGTGCGTCCGCTGGTCAGTGCCTGCTTTTTCTCCCACCTTTGGCTTTTCAGCACCTGGAAAAAGGGACTGGGGGTGCCAGGGAGCTCCAGGCATGAACATATCCCACCCAAACCGCCTCGGTGCAGACATGGGCCTGGGACACCTCATCCAGCCAGGGATCGGTGTTGCCCCGCTAGTGGCCAGGCCATGGAGCATCCATAAGTGTCCCCCACCTGCAGCTCCCGCAGAGCTCTCTGCAGCTGCACCAGCACCCTGTGCTGCTCAGGGCGGCCCGCTGCCTCCTGCAGCTCCATCTGCAGCAGCTCTGACCGCAGCCCTCGGATCTTCTCCCGCCGCGCCGCCACCTCCCGTGCAGGGTCCCAGTGTGTGGGTGACACCGATTTGTTCGCCCCCTTCACCTGCTCAGCCAGCGCCAGGGCTGCCCGGATCTGCTCTCTGGGGGTGTCTGGGGGAGCAGTGACCCTGGGTGCCTGGGCAGCGGCCGTGCCATGTCCCTGGGCTGGCACAGCGTGGCTGCTGGGGGGGACCTCGTGGTCCCAGCACTACCTGGCAGTGTCACACACAGCAGCAGGAAGGTGAGGCTGTTCCCCTCCAGCAGCCGCTCCACGATCCAGGGCAGGGCCCCTGTGCCTGGTGCTTGGAGCACGGGATGGGGAACCCTGCAGAGAGACACCCACAAGAGGGATGGGTGCATGGAGCTGGGCGTGTGATGGCTGAGCTGCAGCTCCCATACATACAGCTCAGGACAGGCTCCTGGGGATGCCAGAATGCGCAGAGCTGAGCGCCGATGCCTGCCGTCCTCCAGCTGCTGCTCCACAGTAAGGGTGAAGAGGCTGCAGGCCCTGGGGAGAAGCTGGGATGAGCAGCAGTGCGTGGTGCCAGGACCTGGGACCCCTGCCTGGAGCATCAGCTGAGCCCACCCACCCCTGTGTGGCTGAGGGTCCAGCAGCTGGAGCAGCCCCTAGCCCCCACGTGTAGATGCTGATGGCAGTTTGGGCGTTGGACACAGCGACCTCCATCGCCTCCTCCACCATTCTAGAAGCAGAGAGAGGAGAATGAACACAGAGAACCATGTCCTCCCACCTCTGCTTGCCCGGGCTCCTCGACCAGGCCCATCCCCACGAGGGATGTTGGGGTGGCAGCCCCTGGGGTCCAGCTACCTACAGGCCCAGAGGTGTGATGTCCATTACGTGCAGAGCTCGGCCATCAGGGCAGAGCAGGTCCCAGGCTTTACCCTCAGCACAGACCTGGAATGAGACAGTGCTATGTGGAGGCCAGAAGGAGGGGGCTGCTGGTAAACTGCAGCCACTGGGACCCCAGTCTGCTTGTGTCCATGCGTGGGCTGGGAAGGGTGTGCATCAGGGTTGCTTCCAGCACCAGGCCAGCCAAAGCCAAAGCCCTGGGAACCGCATGGGGCCATGCAGGGCTCATGCACAGGGTTCCCACTTCTGGGGAGCCCAGGGGTCAGAAAACTGAGTTGCACAGGCAGCATCATTTGGGACTGGCAGCAGAATGGGGAATCTTGCCCAGAGCAGTCTGTCCTGGCCAGCCCTGCTGCCATCATACCTGGACCAGGCTGACTGTGTGCAGGCGTTGTGCATTGCTCCCCGACACTTCCAGCTCTTGAAAGACGGTGTTGATCACCTGGGGACAAGCTGGGAGCTGCTGGTTCTCAGCAGGCATGGCTGTGTCCCACACCTGTACCAGCGGGTTGGGACGCTGGAGCCCAGCAAAGTGACTTCTCTGCGGCCATTCCCCATGCCCTCACCTGCCAGATGATGTCCTGCAGTGGCAGCTGGGTCCCGGGGCCATTTGGGTCCCACAGCATCAGGGACACACTGTAGCCAAGGGGCAGCAGAGCCAGCTGAGGTCTTGCCAATTCCAAGACCTTCTCCTGGTAGAAGGGATGTATGTAGCAGAGAAAGAGTGGTATGGAACAACCAGAACAGTGCAGATGGCCCAGCACAGAGGTCATTGGCATGGAGCAGATGGCACGACAAAGGTGGGATGGCATGGGACAGCATGGATGGCACAGACAGCATGGCACAGCACAGAGCCACAGCCCAACGCCAAGAGGAAACAGGGAGGGATGAGAAACAGCAGCAGAGCCATGTGAAGGACAAGCTCCATGACCTGAGCACACCCAAGGAGCCAGCAGTGGTCACCAGCACTGCTCAGACAGGAGCCTGATGGCAGCCGTGTGTCCCTGGCTCATCTGGCAGGGCACAACCAGGGCTGCAGAAGGACGTGGGGCCCAAGGTACCTGTCCTGCATCCAAATGAAAGATGTCATCGACAGTCAAGCAGCTCTCCTGGCATGAAGGAATGAAGGTAAAGATATTCAGCTTCCCCCAGTATGACCAGTGCAGGACAAAGGAAGCAAATGGTTAGTGTGGCATAGAGGAAGGGGTGAGACTCCCAACCCTTCCCTGCTCTCATCTGAGGCCCAGGAACTTTTGTTCCCTCAGTGTCCCCACCCCTGACGCTCTCACCTGGATCTCCTTCTCTGTGAGAAGCAGCTGCAGGGGGTCTCCACTGCCAGCTGCCCGGCTCTGCCCTGAAAACATCGAGCATGCAGAGGGGTCACCCTACCTACCCCAGTTTTGCCCCCAGTGCCCCCAGCAGCCAGGGGCCAGGTTTGAGGGCTTCCCATTTTCCCCGAGCCCCCTGACAGTGACCACGGTGCTCAAAGTCACCAGGTGGGTGAAGGGGAGGAAGCGCTCGCCCCACCACCACGACCCCCAGCACAGCTGCTGCTCCCAGCCCCACCTGCTGCCTGCTGCAGTCCCACGGCTGCTCGCACGCACACCTCCTGCTCAGCTGGCGGGGACACACACACAGCAGGGGCACAATCCAGCTCCTGCCTCGAGCACCACCAGGAGCCAGGTGAGCCCTGGGGCCACCCCAAAACCAGGGGATAGTTCTCCCCAGGCACCTGCAGTGTGCCCCGCTCACCTCCTCACCATCCATGGCTCAGCACTCAGCACAGGGCAGGGATGGGGCTGCTCAGGGGATCGTGTTCCTGTGCATTATTGATGGTGATCGGGTACAGCCGTGTGCACACAGCCAGGCGGGCACAGGACGAGGCACCTCGGATAACGTTATCCAGGGAGGAGCAGCCACAGCCCACAGGTTCACGCCTCCTGGAGACTGACTCTACCTAAACTACCCCAGATGGAGCTGGGGAGCTCTGTTCAGTGGCAATACAGGCTGAGGGTACAGGAGAGGGGTCCCAGACTCTGCCCTTGACATTAGGGTGGGAGCAGGCACAGGTGCCTCTATCTGCCACCACTCCCTATAGAACCAGGTGACGGAGCTGCTCCTGTCCCTGAGCCAACCCCAAAGTCTGGCATGATGGGATGTGAGCCATTGGGTGTAGATGGGGAAACAGCCCTGTGGGTTCACTAAGAGCAGAGAGGTGCTGATAAGGGTCAGCGAATTCCAGTACACGGGGACTTCCCTTCCTGCTCTGCTGGGCGGAGGTGCTGCTCCCAGTTCCCAGAACAAACCCCAGGGTGCAAACACAGATACAGCACACACCCACCCACGCCATGCATGCTGACAGCAGTGGGTGGGAGCCTGGCCCCACGGTGCCCACTGCTACACCCAGCCCCAGCATCCCTGCATGCTGCACCCTGCCTACCACCCAGCCCAACCTGCCTGCACTGGCAGCCTCACACACAGCACAGGTGACACCAACAAGGCCCAGGAGTAGATTTTAATGGGAAAGCAGAACAGAGCATGGCATGAGCACTGCTCACCTCCAGCCTTGAGTGCTGTGCTCAGTGTTGGGCCCCTCACTGCAAGAAGGGACATGGAGGCACTTCAGCATGTGCAGAGAAGGGCATGGAGCCGTGAGGGGTCCGGAGCACCACTCCTATGGGGAGCAGCAGGGAACGGGGCTGTTCAGTCTGGAGCAGTGGAGGTGCAGGGGGACCTCATCGCTCTCTGCAATTCCTTGATAGGAGGTAATGATAAGGGGGTTCCAGTTCCAGCCTCTGCTCCCAGGTAACAGAGATGAGAGGTGATGGCCTCCTGTTGTGCCGGGGAGGTTCAGGTTGGATATTAGGAAACATTTCTTCTCTGAAAGAGTGATAATACAATGGCACTGACCCTGGAGGTGTTCCAGAAATGTGTACACGTGGCACCTAGGGACACAGTGAGATGGGACGGGGTTGGACTGAGTGATCTAGTCTAGGTCACCCTGGAGTGCTGAGGGAGTTGGCAGATGTGGTTGCCAAGCCACTCTCCGTCATCCTTCAACAGTCCTGACTAACTGAAGTTGTCCCAGTGGACTGGAGACCGGCAAATGCGATGCCCATCTTCAAAAAGGGCTGGAAAGATGATCCTGGTAGCTACAGACCTATTAGTGTCACCTCAGTGCCAAGGAAGGTTATGGAACAGATAATCTCAGGAGCCATCATTAAAGGTCAGCCAGGGGATCAGGCCCAGTCAGCATGGGTTTATGAATGGTAGAACCTGACATCTGACAGACCTGACTTCGTTCTATGCCAAGGTGACCCGCTTAGTGGATGAAGATGAGGCTGTCAATGTAGCCTATCTGGACTTCAGTAAAGGCTTTGGCATTGTCCCCCATAGTGTCCTCATGGAGAAGCTGGCTGCCCATGGTCTGGATGGGCACTCTCTGCTGGTGAAGCACTGGCTGGATGGCTGGGCCCAAAGAGTTGTGGTCAGCGGAGTTAAATCCAGTTGGCAGCCACTCACAAGCGGTGTCCCCCGGGGCTCGGTACTGGGGCCGCTTCTATTTAACATCTTTACTAATGATCTTGATGAAGGGATTGGGTGCACCCTCAATAAGTTCATGGACGACACCAAGCTGGGAGTGAATGTTAATCTGCCCGAGGGGAGAAAGGCACTGCAGAGGGACCTGGATAGACTGGGTCGAGATAAAATGTATGAGTTTCAACAGGGCCAAGTGTCGGGTCCTGCATTTTGGTCACAACAACCCCAGGCAACCCTACAGACTTGGGGAGGAGTGGCTGAAAGCTGCCTGATGAAAAGGGGCCTTGATGTACTGATGGACAGACGGCTGAATACGAGCCAGCAGTGTGCCCAGGTGGACAAGAAGGCCAATGGCATCCTGGCTTGGATCAGGAACGATGTGGTAAACAGGACTAGGGAAGTCATCCTGCCCTGTACTCAGCACTGGTGAGGCCTCACCTCGAGTGCTGTGTTCAGTTTTGGGTACCGCAGTACAGAAAGGACATGGAGGTGCTGGAGCAGGTCCAAAGAAGAGCAACAAGGCTGGGGAAGGGTTTGGAGAATATGGCCTGTAGGAGAGACTGAAGGAACTGGGGCTGTTTGGTCTGAGGGGAGACCTTACTGCTTTCTTCCAATATCCGAA